CCTGTAGTCTTGGGAGGCTGTGGTGGGAGGATAGCTCGAGCCCAGAGTTTTAGGTTCCAGTGAGCTATAATGGCACCAAGGTACTCCAGCCTAGGCAACAGAGTGCTACTCTGTCTCAAAAAAAAAAAAAAAAAAAAGGAGGAATCTTAGTTCCTTCTTTGTATTTTTTATCAGAGATTATAAAAACTCATTTGCCCCAGCTGATTTTCCACACTTCTGTCTTATAAGCCTATATATACATTCATTCCTAAACCTGAAAAAAATTTACTAACTTTAAACAAATAGAGCAGAAACCCCTGCCATGAGTGTAAAATTACTATCCCACAATAGAAAAGACAAGTGGATCCTACTCAAAATCTCTAATAAGCACTGTGTCATCCTCAATAAAATACTTGACATATCAATTTTAGTAAACTCTCTCCACAGGTCTTAAGATTTTCCTACTTTATTAGCTCAGTGCATTTAAAGACTCTTAAGTAAAACTAAGTTGTAATAAATTCACCAGTATTCTGAAAGTGATTTTTCATTACAAAAAAACTATGAAACAAAGCAGATATTTCTACTTATAGGGGTCACTTTAGAAAACTTAGTGAAAATCCTGAACATCGTCACAAAAAGAATATTACTTTGGTAAAATGCAGCAACATGTCTCTTTCTTGTGCAATGACCATTTAATATTCATTTGCTATTTCAACTGAAAACCTTAAATAATTTCTAGGAGTACAATTTGGCTATAGTATAATATGAAATTTGAATGTGACATTATTTAGAAAGTTAAAATGGAGGAAAAAAAGTGGTATTTGTTCTTTTTTAAGAAAAGGCTATATTCATGTTTAGATGCTAGTTTCTCCACGGACACTTAGGTTTTATTCTAAATCCCACTAGCTTCCCAAAGCAACCAGTCATCTTCAGTCATTATAATGTCAGCTTGTTGATGTTTCTGCATAATGTCCTTTCTACAAACTGGCTAAATTTTCCATTACCATAATTTTGCATAACATAGAAAAATCACCATTGTCATTTTAAACTGACAGAAACGTTCTCAGCCTGAGAAACCCAAAACTATTATAAACTTAAAATCTTTAATTACTCTTTTAAAATCGAACAGAAAATTTCTTTAGGTAATGAAGGCTAAAATGTCTTAATTGCAAAAACTGTTGTTTTTCTACAATTCCCCCCACCCTCCCAAAAAAAGGAATGAATAGAATGTGGATAAATGTTTGATCTGCCAACCCTAACACATCGTTTTAAAATTAACACATTGTCAAAAACTACATTGCCATACAGCTATTTAAATCATAAAGAGAAAGGCAATTCTGAAGTCCCACTGCTTGCAAGGCTGTCCAGCTTAGTCTAAGAACAGAGGAACACCTATAAAGCTGGGACTCAGTTCACTGGTCTATCTCCCCAAAACCTGAACTGCTGAAAACAAGTCTTTCATAGTTTTTCTTTATCGTTAATTAGGTAATTTTGTATTGCATTGTTTTCTACAATAGAGAGTAGAATAGGATAAATTAACATGATAAAATGTAGAAATGTCAAAATGATGCCAATTAGTAGAATGGTGGAAGGTTTTTTAAGATTCAAAAGTAATTTATAAGTTGGGTTTTAAAGATTCCACATTCTTTTAAGTGAACACTTTAATCATTCAGTTTATTTCTTGGAGGACTTAAGATCATCTTGTCAACAAGTGGGTTTTTTTTTTCAGCCTTTCCAAGATTTCCAGTACCTCATCTTTGCCAGAAAGCCTACTTACTGGCAGCCAATTTGCAAACATCAAATCTAAGATTACAGCTTCAGTAAAACAAGAAGAAAGAAATTAAAGATCACTTTGAGTATTTATGTTGGCATATACCAAGCAGACTACTTAAGAAAAGAATGACACTGAGGGCTCCATTTTGACATTTCTCATGTTCTGCATGTACTTGTTTTCATATTACTTTAATCGAGACAAATTATAACGAATGTATAATTTAAAGTACGCAAATCTCATTACTCCTACTTGGCTCATGTCATATATTTGCAAACTAAGAACGTGTTCCACTAAAAAAGTTTAGAAAACAGAAACTAAAATAACAACTTTTTAAGTTTATGTTTCATGAAACAAGAAAATAATTAAGAGGGTGCTTGTAATATACTACTGCTAGGGTCAATTTTAACATCACTGAAATCTTTAAGTTTTCTTTAGAATATTAGGGAGACTATTTACTGTCTCACAAAGAATTATGCAAATTGGCTCCAACAACGAAACCACAAACAAAAGCACCTTAAATGATATAAACAATGCTGAATTAACTTTTAATGATAACAAAATAATACTATTACCTACAGAGATAATCCAATAAATACCCAGAAGTAAATATAGTCGTTTTTGTCTAGAACAATGGAAAATAGAAAGCCCAATAAGAAGCAAAAACGTTATTCAATTTTATACTCATAATTACAAATCAATAAACCAATTTCCCATAAAACCATTCTTTTTTTTTTTGAGACAGAGTCTCACCCTGTCGCCAGGCACTAGGCTGGAGTGCAGTGGCACAATCTCGGCTCACTGCAACCTCCACCGCCAGGGTTCAAGCAATTCTCCTGCCTCAGCCTCCCGAGTAGCTGGTACTACAGGTGCACGCCACCATGCCCAGCTAATTTTTGTATTTTTAGTAGAGCCCCCTGAAGAGCAGGGGATACAGGTGTGAGCCACCATGTTGGCCAGGATGGTCTCGATCTCTTGACCTCGTGATCCACCTGCCGTGGCCTCCCAAAGTGCTAGGATTACAGGCTTGAGCCACTGCACCCAGCCCATAAAACCATTCTTTTAAAAAATCATCAGTTTTTCCAATTCCTTTTTTGTTTTCTTGCTTTTTTGGGTGTGTGTGTGAGAGACAGGATCTTGCTTTATAGTCCAGGCTGGAGTACAGTGGCACAGTCATGGCTCGTTGCAGCCTTGACTTCTTGGGCTTAAGTGATCCTCTTACCACAGCCCCCTGAAGAGCAGGGGATACAGGTGTGAGCCACCATGCCCAGCTAATTTTTTTATTTTTGTCTTAGTATGTTGCCCCGGCTGGTCTTGAACTCCTGGGCTCAAGCAATCCTCCCACCTCAGTCTCCCAAAGTGCTGGGATTACAGCCATGTGAACTACCAAGCCAAGCCAATTCATTTTTTTATAATAACATTTCCTTGTTTTTAAAGCTTTTGATAGCTTTATGCTCAAAATCCAATAAATATTAAATAAATCCAAGAGCAGTAAATATTAAAGAGGTATTAAAAAAATTACTTCTTTCTAGTAAAGAGGCTGGGGAAAGAAAATAATGTTTTGGGAGCTTTTATAACACTTTAAAACAAATCTGACCAAGAAATCTGATTAGATAAAATAATTTTCATCTCTTCTAAGCACAAATATATTTTCTATTCAAATAAGCCCATATGTCCACACATTTAATGTAAAGAAACAATAATGATGATCTATCATTTTTGATCACTTACTATGTGCCAGGAACTCTCCTAAATGCATTATATTTATATTAATCCTCACAGTAGTTATAACTATTTTACATACAGGGGTCAGAGGCACAAAGAGATTAAACAATTTACTCAAGCCATAGTAAATGGATGGAGCTGAGATTCAAACCCAGATGCCTAGTACCTTCTCTGATTTCTTTTTACATATATACATTTTTTATTTTATTAAAATTCAGTACTCTCCATGTTCAAAGAAACCTCTCTAGTAGTGAATTATAGAAATGATTCCTGAAAGTATAGTCTTCCATGTCTGCTTTCTGAATCAATATGCAGCAGGTCCTCCAATAAAATTGTTTTCTTTCAACATCATTTTGTTGTAACATTACTGAAGAAAAAAAATCAATTCCAGCCATGGCTACAGTCTTCTGTGGAGTTTGCATGATCTCCCCAGGTCTGCATGGGTGTTCCTTGGGCTCTCTGGTTTCTTATCACAACCCAAAGCTATGCACACTAGATGAATTGCCGTGTTTATATGGTCCCAGTCTGAATGAATGTGGGTGTGTGAGTGCACCCTGCAATGGAATGGCCTCCTGTCCAGGGTTGATTCCTGCCTTGTGCCCTAAGCTGCCAGGATAGCTCCAGCCACCCCCAATCCTGAACCAGAATAAGTAGGGTGGAAAATGAATGGATACAAATGATTGCCAAATAAAAATTAGTGGGCCAGGTGTGGTGGCTCACACCTGTAATCCCAGCACTTTGGGAGGCCGAAGTGGATGGATCACTTGAGGTCAGGAGTTCCAGACCAACCTGACCAACATGGTGAAACCCTGTCTCTACTAAAAATACAAAAATTAGCTGGATGTGGTGGTGTGCACCTGTACTCCCAGCTACTCGGGAGGCTGAGGCAGGAGAATCACTTGAACCCGGGAGGCAGAGGTTGCAGTAAGCCAAGATCACACCACTGCACTCTAGCCTGGGCAGCAGAGTGAAACTCTGTCTCAAAAAAAAAAAAAAGGCAGTAAAGTATATGATAATCATAGAAATACACAATAAATGATGCAGTAAGAAAGAGCTCAATGATCTCTGCCATACTGGTTACTGCTGAACTGCATAGTGGTAGGAGATACTCCTTACAAATTTCACTTTGCAAACAACTATTTCTCAATTTAACTCACCACCACTATAACTGCTTTCACTAAAAATTGTGTAAATAATTATCTTATTTTTATTAATCTTTCTTAAATGTATGTGTAGCCCACATTTATTTCATTGTTTAATATTAGAAGTGTTTTGAGTCTTTATTCAGAAGTTTGGTGAAGTTTTTGTGACCAGAAATATGCCATAGGAACTTAACTCTTATTTATATCAATTAAATTACCTATTTCACCTAATGTCACAGTTTCCAAGAATCTACTAACTTAAGTGAGGACTTATACTACATTGAGTATAAAATATTCATTGTATCTGGCATAATGTCTGACACCCAGTAAGTACTAAATAAAAGTGCAACTGTTATAATAATATTTATCTCTTCTTTACTCACTCTGTGATAATTCCGGATTTCCTTTCAGATTCATCATCTTTGGAATTGAAGGTCCATACACATCCACATCTAGCAAACCAATGGCCTTGGACTGTAAATAAATAAATAAGCAAAACAAAAACACTTTATCATAAGATTGTTCCCACTCTTCTCAAAGATGAAGTATATAGCAACAGTAACCTGAGTATAGAAAATAAAACTGGCAAAATATTTCAAATCATAACCTAAACTTTCAAAGCTACAGTTAAATAAAAGAGCATAAACTGCTTAGAGTCTTTACTGCTTTACTAGTCTCATTTAGATAACTGACTAGAGAAATCTACCCAATATGCTTCAGATACTGTAGTTCAGGTCTCCCATATAGTCTCAATCAGACTAAGACCTTTTTGATCTGAACATGAGTTTGAGAACAAATTACATGCAAACAATTTCAAAATAATGATTTGTGATGGCAGGCAAAACCCCAGAAAGACAAAGCATTAACTTTTGGAATGCCTGTCTAACACACCAAAGAAGACAAAATAAAAAAAGATCAAAGGAAACAAGGCTATAATAAAGCAAATGAGAACTTCTGGTGCAGATCTGGGATAAATTAGATGGAAGCGCCAACAAGGATACTGGCACACCTAACACAGAGACAACCTCTTACACGCAAGTCACAATTAAATACTCAACATTAGAGAATTCAGAAACAACTAAAACTGTTTTCTTTGATGATGCAACCAGCTGCTGAAGAACAGGATGCCCTGTCTGGTCTATTCGCTGACTGTCAATTAATCAGCAGCTTAGCCAAGGAAAGGAAAACAAAATTCACTATTCAAAAATATGTCTCCTTTTTTCTTCTTCCCCTCTCTTATTTCTCTTTTGATAGATGAAATAAATCTGTTATTGGTTTTGTTCATCTACAAGTAAACAGTAACACAATACATCTTAGAGTTATGTTTCATCAAGTCTTACAACTTTCCTACTACTCTCCTCATATCCTGGCAAAATAAAACTCTTAACCCCTCAACAAAATTTTTTGAAAAACTGAAACAATCACTCATCTTTCATGTTACCTACCTATTTCTAGACAAAAAGGAAATTACTTTTTAAATTTTCTTATCTGGTTTCGATGAATATAAAAAATAAGATAAATCTAACATTTGTGTTCCCAACTTTATGCTAAAACTGTAGTTAAAAATATATATGTGTGTGTAATCCCAGAACTTTGGGAGGCCGAGATGAGCGGATCACAAGGTCAAGAAACGAAACCATCCTTGCCAACATGGTGAAACCCCATTTCTACAAAAGTACAGAAATTGGCTGAGCGTGGTGGCACGTGCCTGTAGTCCCAGCTACTCAGGAAGCTGAGGCAGGAGAATTGCTTGAACCCAGGAGGCAGAGGCTGCAGTGAGCCGAGATTGCGCCACTGAACTCCAGACTGGCGTCTGGCAACGGAACAAGACTCTGTATTAAAAAAAAAAAAACATATATATATATATATATATATATATATATATATATATATGTATATACGTGTGTGTGTGTGTGTGTGTGTGTGTGTGTGTAATATCTCTTCTGTGTCTCTCGGTGTCCTCAGAGGAAAAAATGAGATTAATATATGCCTCCATGAAAATCTCAGCTTTATATAAAATAAATGAGAAAATAGGAAGGATACTTGATTTTTAATAGAATGGTTGTATATAAAATTTAAGTTTAATGCATTTAGGTATTAGCTTTAAGAAGGGAAGAACAGTCAATGAGAAATTTGACCAATTTAACTATTTTTTAAACCGCAAACAGAAGAATTTAGTTAAACTAAAACAATTACTATGGACAACAAGATTTTCAAATAAGGGGCCCTAAATCCTTTAGAAATATGGTTAATTGTTACTATCATCTAAAATTCTGCTAATGATATAACTATCTTCCTAGAATTTTATCTCTTTTCTGTATTTCTGTGATACCTTCAAGAAATAAAAACTACCACAAAATAATAATAAATATCAATAAAAACAAAAGCTATTTTAAGATTATCTTTCCTTGTTCTTATTTATATCAGTGCTGGTTTGACAATGACATGAAGGGGGTTAGGTCCTAAGTTTCAAATTGATCTTCTAACAATACCTATCAAGTAAAATAACAGCTTTTTAAGTTTATGTTTCCACGAAACAAGAACATAAGCAAGTGTTCTAACTAATATAAGACTGCTAGGGCCAATTTTATCATCACTAGATTTTCAAGTTTCCTTCAAAATGCTAGGAAAGATCTATCATCTATCCTGCTTCTAGAAGAAAACGAAGCTTGCCTAAAGATGAACTCTTGACACAATGGTTCAAAAAACCTGAAGACCTCCCCTAACATTTACTATGGTAAGAGTAGATTTTACATATACCTAGATGGCTACCATTATTCATAATGTAAAAATTAAGAGGAGGGGGAAATTATAAGATTTTAGAGCTCTTCTGCTTCCTAGAGAAGACAAATAACAGTAACTGACAATATTCTACATATTAGGCTCTCTGCATACTCTAAGAGACTGACCTAAATTTAGTCCCAATGCTTGCATATATCAAAAAGGAAACAAAGGGAGGAAAACATAAAGATCAGGAGGAAAAGAGAAAGAGAACAAAGAGAAAGAGAGATTGGGGCAAAGGAATGAAAGGAAGGAGGAAGAAGAGAATAAAAGGACATTAGCCAGCAAAGTTATATTAAGATGCAGGGTAAACTAGTCCTCCACTGCCAGCCCTATGGACAAATCAGAACCTATCAAAACATACCATGTTAAATTACCCAGACACCAAGACTTACCCTGATTGCATCTCCCCATTGCTTGAATTCCTTCTGGGTGCCAGGCACTTAGCTAAGCATTTGATTAACATTTTTTTTCACTTACCCTCACAACAATACTGCACAGTGGTATTATCTGTACTCATGAATGAGAAAGCCAGAAACTTACACTCAAAATAACCATTTATTTTAAAGTATTATTTCTTAAAATGAAGAATGGGAAATTAAACATGAAAATACTATCCTCATAAACCTCCAGCAGAACTTTAACAGAATCTAACTCCAAAAACTTAGATATAGAGCACAACTTTTCTTTTTTTTTTAATTTTTTTTTCAATTTTTATTTTTATTTATTTTATTTTTACTGCATTTTCGGTTTTGGGGTACATGTGAAGAACATGCAAGATTGTTGCATAGGTACACATATGGCAGTGTGATTTGCTGCCTTCCTCCCCACCACCTATATCTGGCATTTCTCCCCATGGTATCTCTCCCCAACTCCCCACCCGGCACTGTCTCTCCCCTATTTCCCCCCAACAGACCACAGTGTCTAGTGCTCCCCTCCCTGTGTTCATGTCTTCTCATTGTTCAACACCCAGCTATGAGTGAGAACATGCGGTGTTTGATTTTCTGCTTTTGGAGCACACCTTTTCTTAAAGGGCCAACAGCAAATGTTTTAGACCTTGAGGATCATATGATCTCTGTGGTAACTACTCAACATTACCATTGTAGCATCAAGGCAGCCATAAATAAAATGTAAATAAATTAACATGGCTGTGTTCAAATAAAACTTTATGAAAACCAGCAGGACTTGGTCCATGTGTCATAGTTAGTCAACATTCAATTTAGAGAGTAGTTTTTCATGATGAAGCTATTCAATCATCCAACAATGTAATTTTATTAGAGCCAAGAGTAGGCAGGCCAGTCATCTCTTTCAGCATCAGAGAAGCTATCTCAGTAAATATTTACTTTCTCATCCTTAATTGGCTAGCTTTTAAAAATAAAAAAACATACTTTTCAGACTATTTTACTGGAACTAAATCAGGATGTCTCGCTTAGATTTTATTTATCATGAATAAAGTCAGTGTCCATTAACAGAAACACCAAAGCACACATTAATTAAAACATATTATACTTAGAATTGGCACAGCTACTGGACCAGTACAATTACCGCTGACACAAAAATAAATTTAAACAGATTTTTCAAGTCTAGAATTCAGTCATGTTCAAAAGATTCCAAATAAACTTCATTTGTTTCTCACAATTTACTCCATTATTTTTAGATAGGCTATTTTAAGTATGTAAATAGTCTTCCACTTTAAATTTCCAGTTTTATACTGCTAGGAAAATAAATGAGCAAGGTAAAAGCCTATAAATAAATGGATGCAGCTGGGTATCTAACTAACTAAGTTTTATGAATCCTTTCCAACTTACCCCTCCTATAATAATTATATTTAGTCAAGAAAGCTCCATTTAGGATTTTCTTCAATTTCAGTCAGACTCAAAAGAATACTCACTACAAAAGCTACCAAATACACAATAGATAAAAAAAAATTACTACTAGCAAAAATCACTGGAAACTTACTATTATGAAGTGTGATTGTCATCTTTAATGTCACCATAAACTTAACCTACTATGTTGGTATCTAACAATATACTCTTTTTCTGACTCTCCTACAGATCTCAAAACCTAGCAGATGACATATAACAAGAGAAATCAAACTCCAAGATAACAATTAGTTTTTTGGATTTGTTTATAACACCCCCCCTGTGGAAGTTGTAAAAGGTGGCAGAATTATTCAAGAGTGATTATACTGTTTCATTACTGCATGAAAGCTGCAATTTGAGAGCCTACACGTCCTATTTTTTTGTGTTGGATTTCGAAGGCATGAACCGCAGTTTTGATACTGCTTTGTTCTTTCAACAGAATTTATACTAAATAAGACTGTAAAGTTTCATGACATGTTCCTTTTTATCCACGTCTTCTGCTAATAGAACCCATCAAAACAACATCTTAGAATGCTCCCACCCAGTTATTTCTAAATAAACATTCCTTTAAGACCTACCTAAAAGTTGTACTTCTATAGAAGTACCCAGCTGAGACTCCCATGATTCCCTGTATATTTTATTCAATTTAACCTTGGACTCACAGTTGGTACTTAATTCAATTTAGAAATTACTCAAGCCTCTTCTTTCTTCTCTTTCTGCCTAGCTTTACGTCAAGCTGCCAATCATAAGAATTTCAATCTCTTAGTAGAGAAAAATATATGTTTCCAAATTCTGTTAGCTAAGATTAAATAAAAATCTGATTGTCAGAAG